AACCAAGAGTCGTTTGCCTTGTGATCGGAGCGGCGTCTGCCCATTCTTCGTCGCCATTTTCGTCGTGGCCTTAAGCCCCATTGCCTCTAGGAGCCAGCCCGACGCCGAAGTGCACATCAAGAAAGAGCGTCCGAGAAGTATAACAGACGCGTTTGGCACCCGTCCCACGGCTTCGGTTCGCTCCATCTCATTCGATCGATCCATACATCACATGCGGCTCTGCTCGGCCCCCCCAGTCTGCAACTTCGCACGGACGATCGGGGTTGAAGCGACTTCGGATGACAGGCGCCAACATCGTTATACTGGGTTTCCCCTCACTGCCACTCTTGAATCCAAATCCCCCGAATGTCCTCAGTCACGCAGAACATCTCCCCCCAATGCAGGACATAGATACAAATCGTAAAGCGTGTGAAGAATGCAGTCGAAGGCGTCGGAGGTGCGATCGGCAAGACCCGTGCGGGAACTGTGTCCGCTGGAAGAAAACATGCGTTGCCCAGTGGAAGGAAAACGGTCTGTCCCATTCCTCTTGCACGCTCCCTCTATATACACTGACGATTTTCACTTATAGCAGTGCCACCCTCGAATACAAACCCTCCTTTCCCGTCCGGTCCAACACAGTCCGGCCATATGCTCGCCTTGCCTAACAACGCTATTGGCGGCGAGCTGTCAGCGTTGTTACTACAGTGCTGTGCAGAGCATTCGGACAAAACTCAATCTGATGAGTCTGGCTGGTGCAACAGTGCTAACGTGGTCAAGAGGCACAACATCGAAGACGCTGTCGATATCTTGGATCGGCTTGCGCGGAATCCCACGCTCCTTCGACAGCTCAACGATACTGCACTACGACGAGTATTTGGAAGTTTGGCCTGCATCAATCGCCAATACCTTGACAACACCAACCCCACCAGAGTACATTATAGTGACAGCGGGGGCAGCATCGGTAGGCCTGCTTTCTACAACCCTCGCACTCTCCATTAACACAAATGCTCGGCCCAGATACCTCTTCTACATCTGCCTCGCAGATAGGCTTGATACCGCCGCATCTCCATACCGCGACCTCGCAACCCCAGCTTAATCTCGGTCAGATCCCGGAACCGCAACATGTCGCTGAGTATCGGGTCCCGCATCCCGATTCTACCGTTTCGCCGTCGCCACTGGCATTACCGAGCCAGCCTCAGGCGATTTCGAACTCCACCACATCCGGCGATCGGCCAGACAACAACAGACTCCCGCCGGCTATAGCGTTTCTCGTTAACCCCACGCCGACGGCCGTGCAGCCCCGGGACATAGGTGATGCCACTTCCATGGATTCAGGTGCAGCCGAAGTGGCTATACGACCGGAAAAGCGCCCAAGATCAGACACGGACATGTTGAGTGGTATGCTAGTTGACCGGTGCTCCCCGATTGCTCCGCACATAGCACAACAACCAAAGATTCCGTTGAGTCAACCCTATGCTTCTCACCTTAGCAAGTTGCGGAAGGGTCTGCAGGACCTCCTAGCGATGATACGTAACTCTAGCGTGGTCACCCACTCTCCCGATTTCCTAGTTGCACCGTTTCAGGTGATGGAAAGCGATATCACGTTTGTACAACAACCGGGCGGCTCCTATCAGACGGATCTGATCCCAAGCACGAACCTCTACATTGTTGTACAAGAAGAGCACAAGTTCTTCCCACCGGTCAAGTGTATGCCTACCCAGCTAGGGACTGCAATCCGTTGTACCTGACATTTGTATAGATTCGGCATTTGAAATACCGCCTTCGGAGATTGTAAAACAGCTTGCAAAGGTGGAGCAGGTCGGTTCTTTGCAGGTACCTGGGTACGGTGGTGTTACTACCGTTTGTGGAGTTTTTGACTTCATCTGGCACGGAACTGGTGTACATATGGAACCAAAGCCCAGCCAGCGCTCTCTGTATGATTTAATATCAAAGCAGACTAGTTCCTGTTGATGTATTGAACTTCAACGACTCCCAGATATCCACACCAGGAATATCTTCCACCATATATACCCAGCCTGCCGGTCGTGTTGATATGCTGCTCAAGCTCGGCAACGTTCTTGTAAACGATGGTGACGTGCTGATCCTTGAACATCGGATGCCTGATCAGCCTAAGGCCATGCTCGTGCGTTTACGGTCCAGGTGTGGCGTCGTTGGGGGTCGGCATCTGGGAGAAGAGTTCGATAGCCTCGGCGATCAGATTATAGCACTCTTTCTTGATCGCACTTCGAGCCCTTGATCACTCGGTAGATAGGCCACGATGACCTGATCGAAGAGTCTAAGATGTCCCGCGAAAGATCCGCATCAGAACGAGGCATATCTGTCATTCTTAAACGCAGGAGCCAAGATTGCCGGCGAGTCATCAGGCAGGGAAGGGGGTTTTGCCATATGTACGGGGTGGAGCGAGCCTTTGGGGTTCAATGTGGGGTATATAGGCGCGGGTATCTGGAGTTTTAGCTCTTCTATAGGTTTACCAGTGCTCCAGGATCTGCTATATAAGGCCCTTGCCGCACAACATCGTACAGCAGGACATTCTGGGGTTTGAGATCCCCATGCAACGCCGTTTCGCGCACGCAACATCTGTTCTACAATCAATCAATGTCCCACCGCTTTCCGAGGCGACCGGGCTTTCCCAGGCATAGCCCTGGAGTTGGACATTGTAGTTAATAGTGACACTGAGATTATGTAAGCGGAAGCTGTGATTACCTGTAACCTTTACTAAGCTCTGTATGCCAGCGTTGGCTTAAGGCCTGAGGCCCTATTCAATCGATTCGTCGCTATCTACCTAGTATTGACGACGGGAGTGACAGTGACAAGGTTGGCACGCCTATGGTAACCGGGAACAGAATGGAAAGAGAGCTAAGTTTGCGACAACCTTATGACAACCTGAGCTTGAAGTAGTGTTGATTCATGTCCAGGGAGGAAAGGCATTGATGACCCAGGAGCGAAAGGTAGTATCGATCCAAGCCCCGAGCAACCTAAGCACACTAAGCAGCAGATAGATATTTAGAAGGTTGTCAGTCATACCGATCTGTATAGGGCTAAAGACCTCAATCTTATCAAGACGATCGACTACGAAGTAGAGAGACTACTTATGATTGTAGGTTAGGATAAGGAGTAGCGTAGGTAGTTACGGGCCTGACTTCCTACCCCTAATACCGAACATTTCCATCCGCCGATTCTAATCTACTGTCCAGATACCCAGCTGTAGTCGTCCTTCCTCTGGGCTCGCCCCGGCAACCTTAGTCTCTATAGTTACAGCTATAGAACGTATTAAGGGGTAATAGTCGGTTTAGTTGATATAGAGGTAGTATAACGGATCGTTTCTCAACCATACTCTGAAAGGGTTTACTAAAGGTATATTAAAAGGGCTATAATCCGGTGAAGCTAAAAGGTTTACAATAAGATAATAATCTGGTCTTAATGTCTACTAGTCCGAGTAATTATAGTAAATAAGTTATATTACTTACTAGAGAACTTTCCAAAGTCCTTTAGAACGAATAACTATATACTATCTAGATAAGAGACTATAGGATATAGTTTATACCTAGATTATAGTAATTACTCTATAATCCCTATAATCCTATTATATCTATTATAGGTAATTATATTAATTATATTATAACTCCTATAATTACCTTCTTAGGTATATTAATTAGTCTATTAAACGATTAGCCTATAATAGTTCTAAATATTACTTCTGATACTTTCCTATATAATTAGCTTATAATATAATATCCCTTTTTAAAGCCTTTTTATCTTAAAAGTCCTTAATATACCTTATAAGTATTATATCTTATTTTTTTTTCCCTCCTTTATCTTTCTAGTAAGTTACTATAATATCTAGTTATATAGTAAAGCTAAAGTCCTGGTTAAAATCGTCTATATTAACCCTTTATATTAATTACTATGACGAATCGTACCAACCACACTCTGAAAGGGTTTACTGAAGGTATTGTCGAAGGTTATGATTCGGTATAGCCAAAGGGTACATAACAAGATAGGGATCTAGTCTCAATGTCTATAGCAACTAGTAGCAAACAAGTTATATTACTTACTAGAGAACTCCTAAAGCTCTCTAGAACAAGTAACTATATACTAACTAGTATTACTATATCTTAGTAATAACTAGTAATAATCCTTTATTATTACTAATAACTAGTAATAATCTTCTATTATTATTAATACCCGGTAATAACCCTTTTAATTGGTTCATTAAACAATAGACTAAGGTAGCCTATATCTTATCTATAATATAATGTCCCTCCTTTTATAGCTTTCGACCTAAAAGCTATTAATCCCTTTATTCCTACTCTATCAGGTACTTGCTTAATTATATAGTTCCCCTCTCCCTATTAGTAGCTTTTTCCTATATACTTCTCCTTCTTTATCATAAGATATATACTAATATTATACCTATAGAAAAACGTCTATCTTAGTCTATATAATATTGTACTACTTTAGCCGATAATATTAAAAAGAATGGCTTTATTATTATACCTTATTTTTAATATACTTCCTAGAGCTTATTATACTATATACTTGTAAAGGTAAAGTAATATAAGGTATATATCTATTAAAGCTACTTATATAATAGCTTAGATATCTTTATTCCTTAGTATAAGTTATATACCTTCTTTCTTACCTCTTTAAAGACTAATAGCCTTAATAGACTAAATTATATAGGAGTAATAGTAAATTAAATATAAGGAATATAATATAGAGGAGTTACTTAAGGTAATCTAATAAAAACTAAAGGAAGATTAATAGGCTTTATTAGAGTACCTAGTTTAGTTATAGTATCTTTATTAATAGAAGAAATTTCTAGTAGACTATAGTACTAATATAGTAGCTTATAGCTTATCGACCTTAGATATATTAAAGGATATTAAAAGGTAAGAAGCCTTTATTCCCTTAGATATTAGCCCTCCTTTTATTATAAATATATTTAATCCTTCCCTTCTTAAATAAATATTCCTTCTTATTTTTCTAATAAATAAAATAGTTATATAGTATAGTAGTAGTATATATATATTCTATAGGATTTCTTTAGATTTATAGCTTATCTATTAAAATCTTATTCTTATATAAGGTATAGGTTTAATCCCTATTATAACCTAGTTTTTTTTTTTTTACTAACTACTATCCCCTTAGTTCTTTATTAGCTTCCTTTAACGATAGTAGTTTTAACTAGTCTTTTTAGGTTATATAGGGTAATTAAAGTACTAATAGTAGAAATCCTATAGTTTCTCTAGATAGTTGATTAAATTTTCTACTAGTTACTATAAGTTATCCTTAAGGCTAAAGTCTAGCTATTTAACCAAGTATTTAAGTTGTCCTTTTATAATCCTTAAATCGAGGATTTCCTCTATATCCTATTCTTCTTCTTTATCCTTTACTTTAATATCCTTATTAAACCTTAAGTTCTTTAATATAGGTTCTAGTAGTATAATATAAAAAACGTTCGTTTACAGTTTTATAGTTAATAGTAAGGTAAGGGTATAATTATTCTCTGAAATCTTTTTATTAATTTTAAATAGCCCGATTTTCCTAAAATCTAATTTCCTACTAGGTCATTTAGTTTTAAGATTTCGTAAACTAAGGTAGACCTTATCCCTCCTCTCTAGGTAAGGTCCTTTAAGCCTTTTTTAGTTATAGAACTTCTTTATCCTAGCCTATATAAACTTAAATTCTACTTTAAATATTATATAGAGTAAGCTTATCTTATCTACTTTAATAATAGCCTAAGGTACTTTAATATTAGGTCCTTATTAAAGGTCTAGCTTATAGTTAAAGTTTATAAAATATAGTATAACTTTTGTTATTTTAGTCTTAGTAATATTATAGGTAAGTTATATAATAGGTAATAGTTTAACCTAATTATCCTATTAGAAATTAATATAGAGTTAGAGATATTGTTCGACGATCTAGTTAAGTTATTCTATCTATCTGTCTATTTATATATAGTATACTATTAAAAGTTTACTTTTTATACTAAATCTTATTATTAAGGGTTATTAAAATTTCAAGATAAACTTAATGTCTTAATCTATTATCTACTTTTTAGACTATATATAGATTAAAGTAATATATTAATAGAGAATATCTATAAGCTATTCTACTATCTAGATCTCCTTATAGGATAAGAAGTAGATCTATTTAATAAGCCTATTTACTACTATAAGAATACTATTATATATTATCTAAATTATAATATCCTTAGATTTTAGTAACTTAATAATAAAGTCTATAGTAATTAAATTCTATAGTTATTTAACAATAGGTAAAGGTTATAATAGTCTATAAAGCTTATATTATCCTAGCTTACTCTATCTATAGAGGTTATACTTATTAATAACCTCTTTAACCTTCTCCTTAAGGTATAGGAAATTATAATATTATTTAAGTTTAACTACTATTTTTATAATTCTTATATATCCCCTAAGCTTTAACTAATAAACCTTAAGTATAAGGTCCTTTTAATCCTTAGTCTTAATATAGGCTTTATTATAATACTAAAGTCTTATCCTATCTAGTTATAGGCTAGGGATATTTACCTTTAGGTTTATCTCCTAATTAGCCTATTCTTTATTAGTAATAGTTCTCTAAAAATCCTATCCTTTTCTTTCTTCCCTAAAGACTATATAATATTCTATAAACTATTATAAAGATACTTTTTCCTCCTTTATCTATTAGTAAATAGCTATAATCTTATAGTCTTTAACCTATTATAAGGTATAGTAAAAGGTATTATCTATCTATTACTATAGTAGTACTAATAAGTCTTCTAATATACTATTATCCTAATAATTAGTCCTCCTACTTAGGGTATCTACTTATATATTCTCTATACCCTTTTTATAGTTAATTATAAAGTTAAACTCTAATAAGAACTCTACCTATTTAGTTTATTATCTATTTAAGACTTTAGTTATTGTAAGATTTTATACCTTAAGAAAACTATTTTCTAAATGTGAAATTTACTCTTTTCCTTATTAACTAATATCTAATATTAGTATAGTATATTAAATACTTATTATATATATTATTAGTACTCTTTAAGTATTTCAAAGTAGATAAAGATATTGTTTAAGTAGTATATTATAAACTTATTAAAGTAGGGTTAAATAGTATAGTTAATTATAGCTTAGAATATTACTAGTATATTAGTAAGCCTAAATAGTATTACTAGGTATTTAAAATGCCTATAGGGTATTTAAAAAGCTATTTTCCATTTATCCCCTTCTTTAATATAAATATAGGTATATACTATCGATAGATCGAGATAGGTAAAGTATTAGGCTCTAGCTAACTAGTCTTAAAGCTTTAAGATTAATAGTAGAGGGTATTAGTTTTTAATTATCTTACTATTTAGCTATTAATAGTCTATATATATCCTAAGTTTTCTATCTTTCTTTAGAACGAATAATACTAGATATCTAGTAGGTAAGGTTAATAGTTAGATATATTTAATCTTTAAGTTATTATCTAAATATTTTCTTAACTTAGTATTTTGTTTCTTATTAATATAGTAGACTTTAAAGAACTTCAACTATACCCCTTCTTTAAGTTTAATCTTATAGTTCTAAGGTCTATACTCTAAAAGCCCTTTAAGGTACTTAGCCTAAAATGTTAAGTATCCTTTATATTCCTAGGGAACCCTATCTATTATAGTAGTCTTTATAGTTCCTCTATAGTAGGTAAACTTATTATTCCCCAATTCGATACTTATAACTTTAAAGGCATTAATCCTTTCTCCTCTATACTTAATACTTACTACCTTAACTAAGCTAGCCTATTACTTAATTATAAGCTTCCTTTTTTTATTAACTAAGATAATAGTAACTTCTTAGTCGGTCTATATCTTCTTCTATTATTATAGACTATATTTTCTAAAATCTAAAGCTTATTTCTTCCTACTAACTATTTCTTATAGTAGGCCTATAGGGGTTATATTTTTTTATACTTTACCTTATTATAGCTTTTATTGTATACTTCCTATTATATTAGTTAGGTACTTCTATAGTTTATATAGTTATAAATAGCTACTATCCTTCTAACTAATATCTAGGTTATAATCCTTATACTAGGGTAACCTTAAAATTATATCCTTAGTAGTTCTTATATCTATAATATTAAATACTACCTTTATAGTTTTTCCTTCTACTTTAATATCTAAAGGTTTAGTTTCCCTTTAGACTATCTATATTAGAAAAGGTCCTTATACTAGGTAAAGTTCCTTTTTTATCCTTTAAAAGATCTTATACTTATTGACTAAAATAAGGTTAATAAGATCTATTTATAACCTACTATCTACTAGTATTAGAGCTTATAAGTACTTCTACTTAGTAATAACCTAAAGTTAGTTATCTTAATTCTAGTCTTAAACTATAGCTATCTCTTCTACGTTAGCTAGGAGGTTATTATAAGGTCTTTATTTATATTAGTTCTACTTATACTATATAATCTATCGTTTTATTTCTAAGCTTAGTAGTTAGTAAGCCCTTTAAAGGGCCTAAAGTTATTTCCTAAGTCTTCTTAGTAGTATAAAGTATCTCTATCTACCCCTTGACTTATAGTATTAATAGTTCTATATTCTCTTAACCACTTAACTACCTATAGTATAGGCTATCTTTATCTTATAAGTCGTTTATTAACTCTCTAAAGTCTTTTATTCTTATACCGATTTTAATCTAGTTCTTCTAATTAGATATCGTTCTATTCCTAAAGTTATCGACGTTTATATCTTTTAGTATAAACCTATACTTATAGGATATAGACTTTATACTTTAGTCTTATAATTGACTATCTAAGGTTATCGATTTTATTATAAGATTTAAGTATCTTTTTACTAAGATATTAGGGGTTAAGTCTAGGCTTTTTACCTTCCTAAATAATACTCTATTATCTCTAAGAATCCTATATAAATAACTATCCTCTATCGTTAAAGGTATTAGTCCCTATAAAGTAAAGTATAGTCTATTTAAGCTTATTAGTCCTAAGGTATTTATTGTTATTACTAATAGGCCTCTTAGTCTTTTCTTAATACTTCTTTAAGACGTCTAAGAATTTCTCCTCTTCCTTCTAGAACCTAAACCTCTCCTAGTTACTATAATCCCTATAGAGCTCTTCCTTATAGTAGGTATAGTTAACTTTATCTATATTAATATTACTAGTAACGACCTTTTTAAACTTAGTCCCTTTTTTAATAATAGTAGCTTCTTATCCTAATATTAGAGACTACTACCCTTATTTCTATAGGCTTCTATATTTATATTTATAGTAGCCTTTCTTTCTATAGTTATAATAGATAATACTAGACTTATTATAAGGCTATTTACTAAACTACTAGATCTAGACTATATCAATATCTATAGGTCTAGGCTAAATACTATAAAATATATTTCTATATTACTTCTTCCCCTTATTAATATAATTTCCTCTAATAACTAGCTTCTACTACCCTTTCCTCTATTACTTCCTAATATATAGATAGTCGTTATTATAAATAGCTTTAGTAATATATTTATCGAGAACTAAAGGTTAATCTTCCTTATATAACTTATCTTTAATATCCTCCTTAAGCCCATTATAGAATAGCTATATTAGGCCTTCCTTATTAATACTAGCCTAGATAGAATCTTACCGGAATATTATAATATAGGCTAAAGCTAATTTAATCTATTAAAGTCAGGTAAGCCGGTTCTAGATATAGATCTTCTCGTCCTAGTCTCTAAATACCTTATATAATTCCTCCTTAAAGTTATTAAAGTCGTTAAAGACTTTCTAGATAAATAGTAGAATATTATTAACATTCTTATATATAATATAATTACTAAGGGTTAGCTTAAACTATTATATAGCTTATCTAATAAGCCTCAAGGCTATATAATAGGCCTTAGTACCTTTATTGGAAAACCGAATATTATAATGTTTAATATAAGAGGTTAATTCTATAAAGAAATATATAAGGTCCTGTTTTCTTCTATCAAACCTTTTAGGGGCTTTAATCTTAAGCTTAGCCCTTTAGATATTATCGAACTTAGTTTTATACTCCAAGAATAAATCTTTTTAGACCTTAGATTCCTTCTCGAGCTCCTTAATCTTTTTCTAAAGTAG